TGAGCTACCGTGAGTGGCTGGCCACCAGTGTGAGCGGCCGGCAGCCAGTGTGAGCTGCAGTGAGCCGCTGTGAACGACTGAAGAACAAAAGGACAGCAACTTGTCTGTTCTCCCTGATTCCCCAGCACTGTTCTCCTGCAATTGCCCAATAAAATCTTAAAAGAAAAAAAAAATTATATCAGTACTATGGAATATTATGGAACAGTTAAAAAGAATAAGGGAATAGTAAGTATAGACTGACATGGAAAGCTATCCAAACTAACATTGTTCTGTGAAAAACAGCAAATTGCAGAACTTAGGGTTCCACTTGATTTTAAAAACTCCCTGTATATTTGAAGCTACATAGTAAAATGGAAGGATACATAGCAAACTGCTATCAGTGATTACTTTGGAGGGTTGTCAAAGGGAAACTAAAAAATTGTATATATTGCTTTCTTATTGCAGATTTTATAGTACAATTTTAAAATTTTAATTGTACTTTAAAAATGTAATGGTCTTGTACAGCTGAAACTAATTTTTTAAAAATGTTTCACAATAAAAAATAAATTAAAAAAAATGTAAAGGTCATGTTACTAAGAACTCAGGATTATTTTTAGGTATTTTAGAGTTGTATATACTATATTGTTAGATAATATCTAAAACTCTCATCCCAAATGGATATCTAAGATGAGACTTTTATTTTAGAGAATCTACTTATATTAGCAGGCTCGAATCTGTCTTATAATATACACTTATAGACGTCAGTGTATATTGACAACATTATTGAAACCTTGGTCAGCCAGACGTGTGCTGTTGTACTTCTGATTGTTTTTCCAGTAGAAGCAGGAGAATTGCTCTGGCCTGACCCTGTTCTCCTGGTGAGGGCCTTTTATGACCAAGGACGTGTACCACTTGTGCCAGCCTGGTTTTGCCTAGGGGTGTCAGGCCGTTTCTAACTCTAGTTCTGCCATCTGCCATTTATCCACTTCATGTGTGTTGGAGGAAAAGCTCAAAGGACAATGGGTAAAACAGGCATGATTTTTATTTTATAATAAAATTATATCCTTTGGTTTGTAGGTAAGATCTCTCCAAGCTTGGCAACAGACAGTGGACCAGCGTCTGAGTTCCTGGCATACTGATGTTCCTCCTGTATCAAGTACGTTGGTGCCATCTGAACCGCCATTATTCACCCAAAGTCAGGATCCCTCTTCTGATCAAGATTCTGATTGGTTCATTGCTCCTGATGAAGCTCCTCAAGAGAAATCCTTACCAGAATTTCCAGACTCTGGTTTTCATTCCTCCCTAACAGAACAGGTTCACTGTTTGCAGGATTCTTTGGATTTTGAAAAAAGTTCCACAGAAGGTAGTGAAAGTTCCATAACGGGGAATTCCATTGACACAGTCAAATATGGTCAAAAGTCAGCTGGAGGGGATATTAGCAAAGAACATGATGAATGGAATAAGGAAAGCTCAAACAATGAGCAGGATAATAGTCTGCTTGAACAGTATTTAACTTCAGTTCAACAGCTAGAAGATGCAGATGAGACAACAAATTTTGCTGAAGGGACAGGAGACAGTATGCTTCCCATAGCTTGTTCCCCTGAAAAGTTAGATGCCTTGTCTGACAGTGCTTCCGTAGATGATACTCATGGCAAAGCTCCTACTTTGCAAGATGAAATCTGCCAGACACCAGAGAATTGTAAATTAAATGTAGAAGGTCAAGGGNTGATGGTTGTGTTAATTAATGAGATGGTGGGAACCCTTTTACAGTATATGCATATATCAAATCACCACAATGTATACTTTAAATATCTTATTATACAATCTTCTATATCAATTATACCTTGATAAAGCTGAAATTTAAAAAAAAACCAAAAACTTCTTTAGATATTTAGTGGTTTAAATGATACTCTGTTGATTCTTCTAGAACCAGTCATCCAAGTGAATTCTTGGGTTGGGATAAGCAGAAATGATGACCAGTTACATAGTGTTAAGAATAACTTTCCAGCCTCTGTACATTCTACAAGATACTCTCGAAATGACCTGCATCTGGAAGACATACAGACCGACGAGGACAAGTTAAACTGTAGTCTTCTCTCTTCAGAGTCGACTTTTATGCCAGTTGCATCAGGACTCTCTCCAGTGTCACCGACGGTTGAGTTGAGGCTACAGGGCATTAACTTGGGCCTAGAAGATGACAGTGGTACAAATGAATCTGTAAAAGGGCAGGAAAACCAGGATTTGGATAAGGAAGAGGAAAAAGCTTTCTGGACTGCCAATGAGAATTCTGATCAAATGACGAAAAGTGCAGTCAGTATTGAGGTAAATGAGAAAGATGGGCTGTGCCCTTGTCCTGAACCAACAGTAACCAGTGCTGTCTTGAAAGGTGATACCCACAGTCTTACATCTTTTCCTGAGTCAGTTGGATACACTGTCTTCCATACACAACCAGACAGTGAAGAAACCATGTCTCAGACAGCTTCAGAGAAACCTCCCTGCAGGGTTTTAACCCAGAAATCTGCTGCTTTGGGACAAGATAACACTGCCCTTCAGAAACTGAATGAAGCAGCCGCCAAGCTTCAGGCCTGTTGGCGAGGCTTTTATGCCAGGAACTACAACCCTCAAGCTAAAGACGTACGCTCCGAGATCCGGCTTCGCAGAATGCAGGAGCACGTTGTCTGCCTGACTGAGGAAATAAGGAGGTGAGTCACAAGTTCTGTGTAGGTGCTGTTTTGTTGCTTTGGAGGTATCAGCTTCTTAGCATTTATTCAGAACACTGAGTGACTGCTGTTGTGGTCGGGACACTTTTCATACCATCTTGCCGTTCTTGGCTAACTTGTCTCCTACAGTATACTGAAAGCATCTTGAGGGCAGAGACTGTCATATGCATCTCCATCTCTAGCACAATTGGTACCTAGATACAGTATAGCAATAAATGTTGAACGAATGCATGTCTTATAGGCATCTATAAACCTAAACACAGAAAAGTACAGGAAATGTAGGAAAACTGAATAAGTATAAAAATGTGAAGATGAGAAAGTCTACATAGAACTCGGTAGGTGACATAAGAATTAAAGAAAATAGGGATTTAAAAGGAGTTAAAATTCTGGGGCAATGGTAGGAATTATTCCTTAATTCCACGGCTCACATGTTTCACTAACTGCTAACCCAATAAAATTAGGATTTAAAATTTTATTTCGAGTATTAGTATTGCAACTAGAAATATTGATTAAGATTATCAGGTGGAAGAGGAGGAGGCAATAAAGCAGACTAAGAAGGGACAACCAGAGTGGTAGGAAAGCTTGGCGAGTGTGTGTCCCAGCTCCAACAGGGAGATGCTTCAGGAAAGAAAAGAGGGGCTGTCGGGGGAACAAAGAACTGCATTAGATTTAGAAGCTGGAGATTATTGGTGGCTGTGCTGGGGGCCCCAAGACTATCGTCAGGTTTGATGATTTGCCATAAGGACTCACAGAACTCAGGAAAGCTATTCTGTTCATGATTATGTTTTATTATAGTAAAAGCATACACATTAAAATCAGTATAGAAAAAGGTGCATATGGCAGAGTCCAGGAAAGACCAGGCACAAGCTTCTCGTTGTCCTCTCCTGGTAGAATGGTACAGACAGGTTGATTCGCTCTGCTACAGTGTGCGAAGTATTGCCAGTCAAGGAAGCTCACTCGACATCCAGGTGTTTATTGGGGGTCGGTCACATAGACATTGAGTGCCTGTATGACTGACCTTAACCACTCGGGCCTCAGCCCCGCCTGTGGTCAGGCTGATACAGAGTGGTTTAGGGTCCCAGGTGAATAAAACAGTTATTCACCAGAAAGCACATTGTTAGCTAAACTGTGTGGTTTGACCCAAGGCCCCACGTGTACAGATATTCTTATCAGGCAGGATATTCCAGGGGCTTAGAGGTTATCTCCCAGGAGCTGATCCAGGCCAGTTCTGTCTTTGGAATGGGTAGGGTTTGAACACCCGAAGCCCGCTGAGCGAACCCTTTCCTGCCCAGTGAGCTTCCTGAGAGCAGCATTGGGGGCGTAGGGGCATAGGGGCAGGAAGGCAGTTTGGAATGGGTTGAACAGTGAATGAGGTGAAGAGGGAGTGTCGCCAGCTCTTTTGGGACGTGTTGCTGTGAGGAAGGGAAGAGAGTAGGTGGTTGCTGGAGGAGTATCTGGAGTTAAGGAAAATTCTTTTCTAAAGATGGGAAATGTAGAACGTGTTTGTATGTTGATGGAAATGATTCAGTAAAGAGGGAAAAACTGATGGTGCAGAAGAAAGAAAGAAGTGCAAGACTGAAGTTCTTGAGAAGGTAAAAGAAGAAAGGATCCAGGGCACAAGTAGGGGGCGTGGCCTGAGGTAGGAGCAGGAGCAGGTAAGGTGATGGCTGTGATGGTGGGGGATGGGGAAGTCCTGTCTGATAGATGCCTCTTTTTCAATAATATATAAGATGTAGTCAACATTAGAAAATGTGAAGGGGCGTGAGGGTGAGGAAGTTTTAAGCAGAGAGTGGTGAGGTGTGAGGTATTCATCTTAAAAGTGAATGTGTGAATATAAAGGACTGGAGGAGGACTGCTGGACAGTGTGAGGAAAACTTAAAGTGCAAAACGATAGCTTAGGTTGTGTAATTTTCATCAGCATTTCTCAGCCGTTCTTTTCTGATTTGGGCACAGTTAATTTGGTTCAGCCAGGTATGGTTTTTTTTCCAGGTGAATAGGGTAGGGGATAGAGGGAAGGGCAAGGGAGCTGAAGATATTTGGGAGATGATGATTATAATGATGGATCTTGGAATTTCAATGAGGTAAAAGGAAAGACAGGAGGAAGGGATCATTAGTTTGGAGGTCTAGATGAAAACTGGATGTTTAGGTTATTGCAAGAGCAGGTGAACTGGGAGGATAGGTAGTGGTTTGTGTGAGTGCTTGAAATCATCTTTAAAAGTGGTGTAGTCAAAATGACTGGGTCTAGAGTGAGACAATTATACTGAGTGGGGTGGATTATTATTAGATAGAGCATCCGCGTGAATGTTGAGGTTTCCAGAAATGATGACAGAAATGGGGCAGCAAGAAAGACTTGTGTTGAGACTTTAGTGAATGGGGGCGGATAATGAGAGGTCAGTACTCGAAAAGAGTTTGGGGAAATTTAGCAGGATGGCAGGAGTTCTTCAAGCAGGAAGGTAAAGAATAGTTTATACATAGCAGTGAGAAGCAACCTTCTGACCCTGATGGATGAGTAAAAAAAAAAAAATAGCTTCCACTTGAGAAGGCAACAGTGCTCTCAGAAATAGGTCTGAGTCGGTCAAAGAAAAGTTCACGTAAGAGGTTGAATACATAAGGGAGTTTGCTGATTACAGATCGGGAGTCGCAGATGGCACAGGAGAAGGGCTTGGGGGGCTAGCGAAAGTGGGGAATTGGGTCAGAGGTTCAGAACAAAATGGTGGTGACAGCCTGGGAGATAATGGTTGACTAAGGGAGGCTTAGGTTTGTGATAGGCATATGGAGAGGGTAGCAGTGAGCCCAGAGCAGGACTTTAATGAATGAAGGGAAGGGGTGGATTGGTTTGCGGGGAGTGTCTGCTTACGACAGGGAGGAGTATGTCAGGGACTTGGGCAAACAGGAATGAAGTTTGATGGGATTAGTTCTACTTATGTCTTAGAAGACAGTGTTTCTAGCTGTGATCCTATTCCTTAACTGTTTTGGAGGCTTTCAGTAACCACTTTTTTCTGCGGCTCCTGCCCCTTTGGTGTGTTTGGCTGGGAAACTGAGGCCAATAAAGAGCCATTTAATATTTTATTTTTCATTATAATTGGCAATACTTTGTAGAACCAATATCTGAATTTCAATAACATCTCATTTGGCTTCTTTGTTGAGGCATAGTTTAAAACTAAAGTTTCAGCTTAGATATTCTAAAAGTAGAAAGGACTGTTATTAGTTTATTAATCTTTTTACAGTGTATGTGTTTATTAGTTGTAACAAGAAGTGCAAGTCAAAGTACCCTTCCTTGTGTCAGTAATGGATTTTGAATTGTAGGTTAAGAAAAGAAAGAGATGACGAACGTATTAAAAATTTTGTACAAGAAGAGGCTGTCAGATTCCTTTGGAACCAGGTAACCCCCTCCTTCTGATTTACCTAATATGTGAACAAAGAAAAATTCTAGATTTATTGAGATTATCATAGAGTACTCAGGCATATTAAGCACCCTTTCTCAAGGTTAAGGATGTAGTTTGTGTTCTTTGCCACTAACTCTGAACTAGGACAGTGAACTTTGTTACTTTTTTTTTTTTTTTTTTNGAACAGGCAACCTTGTTGTTAGGAGCATGTGCTCTTACCAGCTGAGCCATCCTGCCACCTATTGGCAGCTCAGCGGCAGCTCAGCTCAGGTGCAGCTCACTGGCCCATGTGGGAATCGAACTGGCCACCCTGTTGCTCAGAGCTCGCACTCTTAAGCAAGTTCTTAACCAACTGAGCTACTCAGAAAGATTATTTTTTTCCTGGTTATTATGGAGTCTTTAAATCAACCAGCTCCCACCAGAGTAGCTAAAATTAAAAGAACAGACAATACTAAGTGTTGGTGAGTGTGGAATAATTGGAACTCTCATACTCTGTTTAGGAGTGTAAATGATTGAATCACTTTGAAAAACTGGCAGTTTTTACTGAGGCTAAACATAGAAATAAATACCATGTGACCTAGCAATTTGACGTCTGGTATATACCCTACAGAAATAGGTGCTTATGTCAACTAAAAGACATGTACAAGCATGTTCATAGCAGCCTTATTCATAATAGCTCCAAACATTTGGGAGCTATTTGGGACATTTGGGAAACAAACAAAATGGAAGAATGGGTAGTTATTCAAACTAAGGGACTTAGATAGTTTTGATACTATACTAGGGGGGAAAATGCTGCTGCAGTTGATGTCTGAGACAACTCTGTAGTCTAAACAGTGCTACCAGGTTTTAAAACAGAAGTAATCTATTCAGGAGGGAGGAATAATTCTAAGGGAGAGCTATTGTCTTGAAAATCAACGGGTAACCTGAGCAGCATTCAAAGCATTTTCCTGGTCAACTAGGGAATTGCCCTGAAGGACAGGAAAGGATTTCCATTGTTTGTATCTACCCAGCCTAACTGTTGTTGGCTAAGAGCACCCAGGTTAAAATTTTTCTCCCTTATGAAAAGCATCCCTGTTTCTTTGATGACTTCAGGTAGCCAGATCTTGAGTGTGTGTGTCACAGAAAAGAGTAACTTGAGCCGTCACCCACCCCTTTTTAGAGAGAAGCAAACCTGTGGAAAACCACCTTTGTGTAGCACCTGAGTATCTGAAATTTCTCCTGAACTTGTTTCGACCTGTGTTGTACTATTTACAGGACCAAACTACACCTCTGTTGCTTAGAGATCAGAACTTAGGGAGCAGAACTTTGGAGATGTTTCTTTTTTGAAAGGACATTTAAAATACATACAGAAGTAGAGAGAGTAACATATGAACACCTAAATACCCACTGTGCAGGTTCAACAATTATCAACATTTTGCCAATCTTGTTTCATCTGTTTCCCACTTTTTTGCTGGAGTATTTTAAAAGCAAATACCAGATATCATTTCATCCAATACTCCTGTTTCTTTTCTTTCTTTTTTTTTTAGGAGGAAGAGCAGACTGTTTTAAATTCTCTTTCATAATAGTTGTTACTTCTGTTATATTATGGAAACTGTTCCTTCAATTTCATATTCCAATAATTTGAAATTAATGTGAGAGCTGAATGAATTTAAATTTTGTTTTTCTTTGAATTGGCAATGGTGTTTTAATTAGCACAGAGATTTTTTTTTTTTTTTTAGCTGAGCCATCCTGCTACCTGTTGGCAGCTCAGCAGCTGCTCAGCTCGGGCTCGACTCGA